AAGGGGCTGCCGTTATGTAAGCCGCTCTTCGGCGGCGGCGCGGTCCCAAGCCCCCCCCCCCGCCCCCTCCTCATTGTGGCGGCCGCCGCGGTGGGCCAGGCCCCTCCCCGCCCCAGGCCCGGCCCGCGCATCCGCCCTACCTCGGCCCGGGCTCCTGGCTCATGCCACGCTGTCCGCCGGGCGGCCTCGCGTCATGGGGAGCCCAGCAGGGCGCCGGCGAGCGCGGAGGCGGGCGAGGGGCTGGACTGGCCGGCAGGGCCCGGCCGCGCCCCGCGCCCCGCGCCCTGGCCTGGCCGGGCCCCCGCGGCGGCGCCCGAATTAGAGCTCCCGGTGGGGGAGGGTCGGCCTCCCCGAGCCTCCCAGCGGGGAGGCCGAGGCTGAGCCCAGATAAATAAGGCCGCTGTGCAGGGAGCCGGGGCGCCTCCTCCCTCCCCGCGCTCCTCCGCGGCCGCCGGCGGCGCCGCGCGCGCCCCCCGCCCGGCCCTGGGCGCCGCGCCCTCGCGCGCTCCCGGCGCGGGAACCAATCCGGGCCGGCGAGCCCGGCGGAGGCGCAGAGGATGCGGAGCCCCGCCCCGGCCCGCCCCCTGCGCGGCGCCGACGGGCACGCGCCGGCCCGGCACGCGCCCCGCCTGGGCCTGGGCTCCCGCACCTCCAGGAACCCCGGCGCCTGGCGGATCCCGGAGGGCTAACGAGCGGGGGGCAAGGCGTGCAGCTGCCGGGCGGGCCCGGAGCGCGCCGACCCCGCGGCCGCACGAGGACTCGGGCCCCTGGCGCGTGCGGTCGGCCCGGGGGCCGGCCCCGCGCGTGCTGTGGGCAGGGCAGCGAGGATGGGCCAGGAGGGGAGACGGTCCCACCCTCCCAGCGCCGGGACCCTCCAGCCCGGCCCGCGCAGGCCGAGTGCACCTGCTGCGGCGCAGGCCTGGGCGGCGAGCGCTCGCGCAGCTGCAGAGCTAAACAGAGCGCTCAGAGCGTGGCGCCGAGTGCAGGACCCGCGGACGTCCCCCGGGCTGACAAGGGTGAGAGGGAGAAGTGGCCGCACGCGGGTGGCGCCACGGTCCAGGGGCCTGAAGGAGACGCGGTTTCCCTGCCAAGTGGACTGGAGGCTGGGCAAAGATGGGGCGTGGGGGTTCCGCGAGGGGAAGGGGGTGCAGGAGAGGCCAGAAGGGAGGCCAGGTGTGGGGAGCAGAGTCGGACCCGGGTCCAGGTCGTCTTAGACAGGAGCAGCTGGCGTTGGCTGCGTTTTGATGGCAAAGCCTCACCTCCGCGGACAGGGTGAGGCTGGCTGGACACTGGTGGGTTTCAGCGGGCACAGGAGACGGGAGTGGGCACTAGGTTCAGCCTCCTGCAGCTGCAGGAGTGTGGTTCACGCGTGGGACGGGACAGGGGTCTTGTTCCGAGAGTGACCAGAGGTGGCCGGGAGTAGGGTGGACAGGCTGAGCCTCAGGCAGGGCTTCAGGACACACGAGGGAGCCAAGCCTGCTGTGGCCTCGGGGCAGGGGCCGGCCGGCCGCGTCCACTGTGCACAAGCGTGGATCCCTGCACTCCACATCTGGGGGGTCCTGCTGAGACCCCATGCCCTGACAGCGTGGGGAGGCTGCAGCTCCCGTGCTGGGCATGGGCGGCCAAGACACACAGCGGCGCTGGGTCGTGCGCTGCCTTTGCAGGGTCAGAACACCCGAGAGGGCTGCTCGGACAGACGCTGGCGCGGGGGGCCCACCCGCGTCTCCCCATCACCCATCCTCCTGGGCCCTCACTCCCCCACGCCCAGTGCCCCCCAGGGCTCTGCCCGCCCGTGACTGCGGTCTGCAGCACCCCAGGTGTCTGGCTCCGCGGCCACGGCCTCGCCCTTGCCTGCTCCAGGAGCCGTGGTCACGTGGGCCTTCCTCTGGGGCTGGAAGGGCTCCACACCCCCACCTGGAGTCCTGCAATTGAAGTGCCCTCGCCACCTGCACTGGTGGCTCCCCCTGCCCCTCAGTGCTGGCTCGCCGTGGCAGGGACCTCCCCTCTCAGCCGGCGTTCCAGGGTGCTTGGACTGAGCTGGGGGCCAGGGTGGGGCTGCCTGCACCTCACCCAGAGCCTGGCGTGTAGTGGGAGCTTGACCAAGGTGTGGGGGGAGCAAGCAGATCGGCAGGGCGCCCCCTGGAGGACACCTTTGGAAACCGGCTCTGTGGGTGTCGGCAGCCCCCCCCCCCCCGCACCTGGGGGATGCAGAGCGCCTGGCCAGTGAGGAGGCTTGCCCCCCCGCCCCCGCAGCCCTGGGGAGCCGCAGGAGAAGGTTCCTGGGGCCCCTGGAGCTATCTCCTAAGGGTGGGCTGCTGGAGTTGGTTCGGGAGCCACGGGGACTGGAGGCTGCTGGCGCGTCTTGCCCCGAGACCTGAGGGGGTAGAAGGGTCGTCCTGTGGCACCCGGCCCTTCCCTGAGTCCTGTCATGGAGCTGCTCAGCCATGGGGGGTGGGTGCTGTGGTGGCGTGAGCCTGAGCCTGGGTGCCGGCCCCTCCTGGGGAGGGGGCGGGTCTGAAAGCGTGCTGGCCCGCCTCTGCCCCAGCCCCGCCCCGCCTCCAAGGCAGACGCTGCGGGCTCCTGGGGAGAGGCACGTGGGTCAGCAGGTGCCTGACTGCTCTGGCCACTCCAGGGCCAGCCCGGGCACCTCGCCCTGGGGGGCCGTGGGCGGGGGCTCTCCCCGCTCCCCCCCTCCCCGCTGAGGATGACTCAGGGCCCAGCTGTCACCACGGCAACAGAGTCGCCTAGCAATGTGGTCTCCTGGCAACGGCTGTCTCCTAGCAACGGGATGTTTTCCCGGCTGGAGCTGGCAGTTATTTTTAGCGCGGCTGCATTTTCTGCTCCTGGAGGAGGAGTTGCAAGGCGGGGGTGGGGCGTGGATGAAAAACACGGCAGAGACAGAGGAGGGCTTGGCCCTAGGTGCCTCCAGGGGAGGCGGGGCAGGGGGGGGTGGCAGCTGGGACCCCTCCTTGCCTGAGCCCCTGGGCGCCCCTGCCTGCACCCTGAAGCCCCAGGTCTGAGCACCAGGGCTCAGCGTGGGCATCGTGAGAGCCCCGGCTGGCCCAGGGCGTGGTGGGTTCCCTGTGCCTCGGTGCCCCCAGTTGTGGGAAGGACCCCTGCTCTGTCCAGTCCCGCCCCTCCCCCCCAGCACCACCCTGCAGGGCCAGACCAGCGCCTGTGGCCATTGCTGGCTGCAGGGCTCTGGGTGGACACTGGAGGGGATAGCCGCCCCGCCCCACTGCTGCTGGTGAACGCTGAGACCCAGGCCGGAAGTCTTGGTGAGTGGGAGACTTCTGCCAGGCTCTGGCCCCGCCCCCTTCCACCATCTGTGGCTCTGGTTCCTGGGGGCCCCATCTGCTCTCTTCACCCCTCCAGGCCGCCTGCCCTTGATGCCACGCCCCCGGGAGCAGGGCCAGCCCAGTGCTGCAGGCTGTGCCCCTCACCCCAGAGGCCGCCACCTGTCCACCTCCTCCTTTGCTGGCTGGTGGCTGGCTGCAGGCATGGTCCAGGCCCAGCTCGGCACCCTCAGCAGGCCACACTTATGTCTTGGCAATGGCCAGAGGTGAGGTCTGCACTGCCCCAGCCCCAGGGCCCAGGCTGCACCTCCAAGGCCTCTGGGGAACAAACATTCTCTCCCAGAGTGGCCGGGGGCCTCAGGGCACAACGACCCAGCCCCTGGAAGGAAGTCCTGCGGGTCTGCCGGGAGTGGCTCCTGCTGCTCCTCTCTGGCCTGGTGGGACAGGGGCTGCTCGTCCCTCCACCCCCACCACTGGCTGACGACCAGGTAACGAGCAGCCAGCACTTGCACCCAGCTGTGGCGGGGCCTGGACACAGGCAAGAGTCCAGACTGGGCCTCTGGGATCCTGGATGGGGACCACAGAGCCATGATGACCGGTGGGGCCATGGCCGATCCAGGAGCTGTGGGCGGCTTCTGTGTTGGTCTCCCCTGCGGTGAGGTCCCGGGGGGGCCTCCCCCAGCCCAGAGCCCTGCTGCTTTTCTGGGGGATGGTTGGGGTGGAAGTCAGCGGCCCCAGCTCCCCGGGGAAGGGCTGGGGTGGGTCCTCCCCACAGCCACCAGGGCCACGTCTGCCCCCGAGGCCTCTGGCCAGGACACCCATGGCCCCCCAGCTCGCTTGCCAGCCTGTGCCCACAAGGCCCTGTCCACCCTGCTCGCTTTTTTAACCTTTTAATGACAGTAGCACGCACACAACAGAAGAGGGCACGGACACTATCCATGTGCAGCTCCTGGTTTTAATTGGGGACACCCGCACCCTTGTGCCACCAAGCAAACTATCCATCAAACCCTGGCTCCTGGCCGCAGCCCCTGTCCTCACTCCCCACCTCGGAATCCCACAGGGGGTGATGCATTCCTCTTTGCAGCCCACCTGTTTCCCTGGAGACCCTGCCACAGGGCGGGGCACGGGGCTGCGCGGCGCAGACACCGCTCCGAGCCCGCCTGGTCGCTGTGCGGCCTGGGCAGGTGCTGCGGTCGGGGGCACGCGGCCTCTCCCCACACTTCCTCCAAGGCACAACTGCCAAGTCCATGGGTGAGAACGCCCTAGCCCTGCCTTCGGCCCTGGCGGCTCTGGATATGTGCGGGGGCCTCTGCGTCTCCCGCATCCACACGCCGCGGCGACCGCGGGGTGCACGACGCAGGTCCGAGAGAAAGGGCGCTGCAGAACGGGTCCAGGACCGCCCGGCCGCTCCGGCCCCCACCGACCCTCGCCCCAGGGGGCTCGACCCCTGCCCCTGCCTGGGTCGCCCTGCGTCTTGCCGGCATCCCAGCTGCCTCCGGGGAGGGGCACAGGACCCCGAAGGCCAAGAAGGGGCCAGACCCCGCAGCTCCGCGACGCGGGTCGCCCAGCGGGCAGAGGACTCTCAGCTCCCGCGGGCGCCGCTGCGACTGGAAGAAAGTTCCGGGGCCGCGCCGCGATTGGCCGGGAGCGCCGGCCCCGCCTCACCCGCCTCACCCGCCCGGCTCCCGGGGCGCGGGGCGCGGGGCGCGGGGCGGCCCCGGCTGCGCGGGCGGCGCCCTGAGGCTGCTGTCGCCGCCGCCCGACCCCGCTCCCCGCCGGGCAGCACCGACATCCGGCGCGAGGCCCGGGCGTCCCGCGCGCTCCGTGCGGGCCGCGCTGCTCTTCGCGCTCGGCTGCGCGTTCCTGGCGGCGGCCGCCGGCGCCCGCCCCGCTGCAGCCGGAGGGGCAGGTATGCGCCCGGTGGGGCTGGGGGTGCCGCTGCGAGCCCGGGAGGGTTGTGCTCTGGCGGGAGCCGGGCGTCCATTTCCTCCTCCTCAAAGTGGGCACAGCCGTGGCGGCGGCGGCGCGGGGCCAGCCCGCCTCTGGTCCGCTTAGCGTCGCCCGTCTGTCCCCAGCGGCCTGTCGCAGGAGCCCGGCAGCGTGGGGCAGCTGGCCCTGGCCTGCGCCGAGGGTGCGGTCGAGTGGCTGTACCCGGCCGGGGCGCTGCGCCTCAGCCTGGGCGGCCCCGGCCCGGGTTTTGCCTGCCTGCGGCCGGCCCGGCCATTCGCGGGCGCCCAGGTCTTCGCGGAACGCGGGGGCGGCACCCTGGAGTTGCTGCTGGCCGAGGGTGCGGGCCCGGCCGGCAGCCGCTGCGTGCGCTGGGACCCCCGCGAGCGTCGGGCCCTCTTCCTGCAGGCCACCCCGCACCGCGACGTCAGCCTCCGCGTGGCCGCTTTCCGCTTGGAGCTGCGCGGGGGCGCGCGCCCAGAGCTGCCTCCCAGGCCCTCAGCCCTGGCGTGGACAGTGAGGGCTGCGCTGGTCAGGGGCCGGCAGGGAGTGAGCACAGACGGGGCGGGACACACCTTGCGCTAAGGGCAAGGACCAGCAGGGCAGAGGGAGAGAAGGGGAGGCCGGCCTCCTCCCTGGGGCCTTGGGGGAGGGGCGGGCCCAAGCTGCCCAGAGCCCCCGGCCAGCAGTGAGCTCTCTCCCCTCCCCAGCCCAACCAACAAAAGCCCACGGTGCCCGCCAGTGTCCATGGCCGCTGCCCCCTCCCCGCAGGGCACCAGGCCCAGGCCTTTGCTCTGCTGAGCTGGGAGCCTGACCCCACCGATGGCTCTTGCTCTGTGGCCGGTGACCCCACCGGTGACCCCAGAGCCCGCGGCGGCCTCCTGCCACCCTAGCTGGGCTGCTGTATTGGGCTCCTGCGGCTGCTGCTGGGAGCCCCCCAGGTCTCACCCCTCCATGCCAGGTGCCTGAGACCCGGCAGTGAGGCCGAGCTCCCCCTGCACCAGTGACTTGGGTGAGTGCCCTGCCTACCGGCCGGCCTGGAGTAAAACAGCCTGGACCCTGTCCACCCAGTGCCCACCACTGGCCCCCGTGTCTCCCCAGTGATCCGGGGGAGCATCCGCGGGGTCGCCCACGACACGGAGCTGCAGGAGTCTGGCATCACCATGGCAGCCGCCCACGTCCTCCGCGAGACACTGCCCCAGCTCGGGGTGGGGGGCCCGGGGCTGGCCTGCATCCAGCACCCCTGCGCTGCGGCATCCGCCCCGGCCCCAGCCCCTTCCTCTTCTTGGGCTGCAGCCGCTTCGGGGAGACCTGGCTGGGCTGCGCCCCCCACCTGCAGGAGTTGTTCCGAGCCCACGCGGCCACCTGTGCCGCCCACCTCCTCCCCTGCAGGCTGGTGCTGGACTGAGGGGCTGGGGTGGGGTGGGGCCACATCCTGGCACCCCTGCTTCTGAGGCGGGGCCATCATGAAGAGCGAGGATTACATTGGCTGCCGTGCACCTGGTGTCCTGCCCTGGGCCCGCCTCCCTTCCTCAACCCTCCCACAGCCCGGCTCCCTCCACAGGGTCCGAGGGGAGGGGCTGCGGCCCCTGCCACCCCGTGCCACTCCCCCCCCCCCGCTTCCTCTCTGGCTCCTGTTTGCCCCCCCACCCCGTGCCAGGGTGCTTCTGAGACTCAGAGTGGGAGTGGGAGGGGCCGTCACTCCCGAGCCCAAGGTGGGTGGGGTCCCCTGGATGGGGCGGGGGTAGCCGGTGCCCGCTCGGCTCTGTGCCAGCTTCCCCGGAGCCCCATCCTGCCTCTGGGAAGAAAGGGCCGCTGTGTCCGGAGGCCCTGGAGTGCTGAGCACGCACACTGGCCAGGGGCCTGCAGGCCGTGGGTCCCCGCTGCAGGCTCCCGTTTCCCGCGAGTGCTCAATGGGGGCTCCGAGGACCGTTTGCCGGCACCGCCCCATTGTCACTGCCCAGGCCCAGCCGACGGCCGTCACCCCTGCCCGAGGCCTGGGCAGGGCCCTTGTCTGGCTGCCCTTAGCAGGAGGGGACAGGGTTGGGGGTGGAGGCAAACAGCCCCCCTCATCCTTCAGGTGGGAGTGGGAGAGGGCCTCCCTCCCAGCTGAGCTGCCGTGGGCGCCCAGCACAGGCCTGTGATGGGTCACCTCCAGGGCTGCCCAGGATGTCCGTGGGGGCGGTTGGGAGGGACAAGTGGGGGCACAGCCTTCCATGGACAGCAGCCCCTGGGCCGCCTCTGGCTCCTGCCTCTCATCTCTCCCAACTCCCAAACACGGGGCGAGTCCTCACCTCTACTTACAAACACGCCCCCCAGAGCCCCCAGCAGCGCTCAGAGGACCCTCGCCGGCCAGCCTCCGGTGCACTCCCGTTCCTGTCGTCTGGGGAGCCCCCTCTGTCCAGACAGGTCCCCAGTCACCGCTCGCACCGCTGCTTCTCTGAGCGGCCCCGGCCTCTCCTGTCGGCCACAGCCAGTGGGGGCCCTGCTGCCTCCTGGTCCACCTGTCCAACCGTGCTAGGCCGCCCCTAGCCCCAAGTCACCTGCCCTGGGCAGTGCCCGGCCTCCCACCACACACCCTCCTGGGGCAGAACTGCTTGTGGCTAGCGTCACGGGAGCCCCTCGTGATGTGTCCTGGGGGCTTGGGCCTGGGGCCTCCGGCCCTGCTGGGGACAGGGGCTGGGCTGGGGGTCCTGTGTGTGCCAACTCGCGCAGGTGTGCACTGGGCCACTGCGCCCGTTCCTTCAACGCGTGCGTACTGTGTGCCCTTTAGGTGCCCAGTTGTCGACACTGAGGGGAACACAGGTGTGACTTAGGCTCCCCTCCCGCACTTGTCTTCCAGGGCCGGTCAGGCTGGGGCCAATGTGTGGCAGGCACGGGAGTCCCTCTGCAGGCAGTGGCCTTGGACACCCTTGGTCTGGGAGCAGCCACCACCCCTGCAGCACCAGGGACACAAACACCCCAGAAGGGGCCAGGCCAGGGTCCCCTGTGCAGACAAGCCTCGGCCCACGGCCGCACATCCCCCATGTCCCGTCCGCGGGGCTGCCCTCTCAGGGACAGGCCCGCAGGGGGACCCAAGACGCCCAGGGTCTGCACGCCGCCCCACCCCTGCTGAGCCCCTTCCCCGCCGGGATCCCCACTGCGGGCTCCCTGGGCTCAGCCATGCCGGTCTCTCCTCCCCCCAGGGGCGTTCTGGGCCAGGCCCCATGCTCACGGGGGGCAGCCGGGGCCCCGCGCCGGGACGTCGGTCCCACTGGGCGAGGTCCTCCTGCGGATCCCCAGTGGCCGTCCGCGGGGCCCGGCCGGAGCGGAAACCGCGACGGACCAGCCCGCGGGCCACTTCCGGCGCCGCCGAGGGCCCCGACCGGCATGGAGCTGGACGACGCGGCCGAGGCGCTGGCGGAGCTGCGGGAGCGGCGGCTGAGCGCGCGGGAGCTGCTGCAGGCGGCGGCGGGCTCGGGCCTGGCGGCCTACGCCGTGTGGGCGCTGCTGCTGCAGCCCGGCTTCCGCCGCGTCCCGCTGCGGCTGCAGGTGCGGGGGCGGGCCGGGGCGGGCCGGCGAGCGCCCTGACCGCCCCGCGCCCTGACCGCCCCGCGCCCGCGCCTCCGCAGGTGCCGTACGTGGGCGCGAGCGCGCGGCAGGTGGAGCACGTGCTGTCGCTGCTGCGGGGCCGCCCCGGGAAGACGGTGGACCTGGGCTCCGGCGACGGCAGGATCGTAAGGCCCCCGCGGGCGCGGGCGCGGGCGCCGGGCGCGGGCGCGGGCGCGGGCGCGGGGGCGGGCGGCCGCGCGTTCCCCGCCGCAGCGCGGCCCTCTGCTCCCGCTGTCCACAGGTGCTGGCGGCGCACAGGTGCGGCCTGCGCCCGGCCGTGGGCTATGAGCTGAACCCGTGGCTGGTGGGGCTGTCGCGGCTGCACGCCTGGAGGGCGGGCTGCGCCGGCGCCGTCTGCTACCGCCGGGAGGACCTCTGGAAGGTAACCGCGGGGCCCCCGGCCGCCCCGCCCCGCCACGCCACGCCCCGGCCCCGCCACGCCACGCCCCGGCCCCGCCCCGCCCCGGCCCCGGCCCCGCCACGCCACGCCACGCCACGCCCCGCCCCACCACGCCCCGCCCCGCCACGCCCCGGCCCCGCCCCGCCCCGGCCCCGCCACGCCACGCCACGCCCCGGCCCCGCCACGCCCCCGCCCCGCCCGCCCCGCCACGCCCCGGCCCCGCCACGCCACGCCCCGGCCCCGCCCCCGCCCCGCCCGGCCCCGGCCCCGCCACGCCCCCGCCACGCCCCGGCCCGGCCCCGCCACGCACACTCGCCCGCTGGGCGCTCTCCCTCCCGCAGGTGAGCCTCAGCGACTGCCACAACGTGTCGGTGTTCCTGGCCCCCAGCGTGGTAGGTTTGGCGGCGCCACCCTGGGCGTCCTGGCTCCGCGGGGCGGGGCGGGGGGCGCCGGGTCCGCCCACACCTGCTCCTGCCGCCCCCACAGCTCGCCCTGCTGGAGGAGAAGCTGCGGGCGGAGCTGCCCGCCGGGGCCCGCGTGGTGTCCGGACGGTTCCCCCTCCCCACCTGGCAGCCGGTGGCCGTGCTGGGGGAAGGCCCGGACCGCGTCTGGGCCTATGACGTCCGTGGCGGCGGGCCGGCCGGGCGCGCGGGCTCCCCTCCGGCCCCGGCCCTGGAGTCCCCGTCCCTCGGCCCGGCTGACAGCGGGGCGCAATAAAGACGCAGGGGCTCTGTCCCGACTCTTGTTTGGCGCGGAGCTCAGCGGGGCGGCTCCTGCCCGGGCAGCCCGAGCGGCAGGCTCTGTGCTGGCCAGGCCGGCCAGCGGCTGCGGGCCCCCGGGCCTTGGAGCTCAGCCGCAAGTGCGGCCCCCACTTCGCGGGGCGCCCCCACGCCCACCAGCTTCCTCAGCCTCAGGATTTCCTGCTTGTACCTGCGGGGAGGGGCCAGGGTGAGGGACCGCCCGGCCAGGGCAGGCGGTCCCCTCAGACCCTGCGGGCCCACCTGCCCAGGTGCTGCGCCACGTACTCCTGCAGCCGAGACAGCTGCTGCTCGGCGACTGCCGCCCGGCCCAGCAGCTGCGCCCGCTCCTGCTCCAGCTCCGCCTGCGGGGGGGGGGCAGGGGGCGGCGTGGGGGGCTCGGGGGGCATGCGCCAGGGTGGGGGGGGCCCTGTGGGGGGCATGCGCCAGGGTGTGGGGGGGCATGTGCGGGGGGGCTCAGGGGGGGTATGCGCCAGGGTGGGGGGGGCCCTGTGGGGGGCATGCGCCAGGGCGTGGGGGGGCCCTGTGGGGGGGGCACGAGCCAGGGTGGGGAAGGCCCTGTGGGGGCACGAGCCAGGGCGGGGAAGGCCCTGTGGGGGGCACGAGCCAGGGTGGGGGGGCCCTGTGGGGGGCATGCGCCAGGGCGTGGGGGGCCCTGTGGGGGGGGCACGAGCCAGGGTGGGGAAGGCCCTGTGGGGGCACGAGCCAGGGTGGGGGGGCCCTGTGGGGGCATGAGCCAGGGTGCAGCATTGGGGAGCTCGGAGGGGCATGCGCCAGGGTGGGGGGGCCCTGTGGGGGGGCACGAGCCAGGGTGGGGGGGCCCTGTGGGGGGCACGAGCCAGGGTGGGGAAGGCCCTGTGGGGGGGGCACGAGCCAGGGTGGGGAAGGCCCTGTGGGGGGCACGAGCCAGGGTGGGGGGGCCCTGTGGGGGGCATGCACCAGGGTGTGGCGTGGGGGGGCCCTGGCTGGCTCTGTCCACTACCTGGGTGCCACGGGAGAAGTCCCAGAGCTTCTGGCAGGTCTGGGCCCAGGACGCGGCATCCGTGCCCCTGCGGGAGGGAGTTGTGGTCTGGAAGGCCTGCCTGGCGGGCCAGGAGCTGACCGGTGACCGCCCGGCCTCGACATGCGCCGCCACGTGCCGCCGTCTGGCCATGGGGGCTACACCACCAGGCCAGTGTCCGTAGGGGCAGACCCCAGAGCTGGGAACCGGGAGGCCCAGGTCAGCGGGACACCTCCATTGGTGGACCCTGCTCCCCGGCCAAGGTGGGGCCCCCCTTGCTGGGCACTTGGCAGGAGCTACGTCTCCCCCAGCCCCCCACGCGCCCCCAGGCACCTGCTGGGCTCAGCAGCTGCACCCCAAGCCCACTTGGTAAAGTGCGGAAGGTTTTCCTCCGCTGCCTGCTCCGGACGGGGCCTGAGGTGCCTTGTGGGGTTGGGGGGGCAGAGGTGCACCTCTGCAGGTGGGCGGGGAGGGCTGCCCCTCTGCCCCAAGCCGCGCTCCGGCCAGCGAGGGTCACTGTTCGGGTCCTGAGTCAGGGCGTGGCCCACCTGTGGGTGGCCAGCAGCTCCTCGTGCCTGCGGCTCAGGTCTGCCAGGCGTCTCTGGAAGGTGCGGGCGGCCCGTGCCAGCTGCTGCTCTCGGCTTCGGTGCGCCGCCCGGATGTCCTGCAGAGTGGCCTCCAGGAACGGGCGCAGGGCCACGGCCGCCGGCTCAGGGCCTGCCTGCGGGGCGGGGCGGGGCGGGGCAGCTGGGGCTTGGCTGGGCCCCGGCCCCCAGCGGATGGGACAGGGAGGCGGGCTCTGCCCACCGGGTCTCTGCACCACGCTAGCCCCGCCCCGCCGCCGCAGGGCCGCCCGCACCCACCACCGCCTGCCGGGCGCAGCGCTGCAGCTGGGCCGCGTGCTCCTCCGTCCGCTGCTTCAGCTGCAGCTGCAGCCGCGCGGTCTCGGCCTGGGCCTGCTGCAGCGCCTGCGGGGGAGGCGGCCCTCGCACTCCGCCCTCGGACCCTCGCCAGCCGGTGGTGGCGCGGGGGGCGGGGCTCACCGCAGCTTGTGTGGCCAGTTGCTGCCCAGCTGCCCTGGCTTCCTCCCGGGCTTCCTGTAGCTGCTGGCCCAGGGCTGCCCTGTGGACACGGGTGCGCGGCTGAGCCCGGGCAGGGCGAGGGCACGGCTGCTCTGAGAACTGGCCCCAGGCGCCACTCACACACGGCTCTCCAGTGCCTGCTGCCGGGCCCTGTGATGCTCCAGCACCTGCCCCACTGCTCCCTGCAGCTGCTCCGGGCCGCCCAGGAGCTGTGGGGTGCACGGGGCTGGCTGGACGGCCCCCAGGCCAGGTGGGGTCACACTGCCTCCCTGTGGGGTGCACGGGGCTGGCTGGACAGGGCCCCCAGGCCAGGTGGGGTCACACTGCCTCCCTGTGGGGTGCACGGGGCTGGCTGGACGGGGCCCCCAGGCCAGGTGGGGTCACACTGCCTCCCTGTGGGGTGCACGGGGCTGGCTGGACAGGGCCCCCAGGCCAGGTGGGGTCACACTGCTCCCCTGTGGGGTGCACGGGGCTGGCTGGACAGGACCCCCAGGCCAAGTGGGGTCACATTGCCCCCCTGTGGGGTGCACAGGGCTGGCTGGACGGGGCCCCAAGGCCAGGTGGGGGTCACACTGGCCCCCTGTGGGGTGCACGGGGCTGGCTGGAGGGGCCCCCAGGCCTGCCAGGTAGGGTCACACTGCCCCCTGTGGGGTGCACGGGGCTGGCTGGCTGGGGCCCCCAGGCAAGGTAGGGTCACACTGCCCCCTGTGGGGTGCATGGGGCTGGCTGGCTGGGGCCCCCAGGCCAGGTGGGGTCACACTGCCCCCTGTGGGGTGCACGGGGCTGGCTGGACGGGGCCCCCAGGCCAGGTGGGGTCACACTGCCCCCTGTGGGGTGCACGGGGCCCCAGGCCAGGTGGGGTCCCCGCTGCTCCCCGCTGACTGCTTGTCTCAGGACGTCCCGGGCTGCACCTGCAGGAAGGGGACCAGGTGAGCAGGTCCCAGCGTCACTGTGTTCTTGGCTGAGGTCCCAGCCACCCCCACCAGGCCTGCATGGGCCCAGCGTGACCTGGAGTCCGTGGCGGCCAGAAGGTCCGGGCCTCTGGGGCTGCTCCAGCTGCAGCACGCGGCTCTCCAGCCGCAGGACCTGTGGGCACGCCGCCACGCTGCCACACGCTGCCACACGCTGCCCCCGGCGCGCCCTCTGGCTGGCACGCGTGGGATCTGGGGCTGCCCACCTCGCTCCGCAGCTGGAAGACCTCAGCCTCGTGCTGCTCCTGAAGGCCGAGGATCCTGACCTCCAGGCCGACCAGGTCCTTGGAGATCTGGGGGGGGGTGGGGGGACAGGCAGCTGGGCCCTGCCAGGGCCCTCCCCCTGCCCACACCCAGGCCCGGCACCCACCTGCAGCCACTGCTCCTCGCCGAGCTGGAGGGGGGACGCCCAGGTGGGGGCGCCCCCAGGGACTCCTGGCGGCCAGCCCTCAGCTCCTGTGGCCACCTGGGAGGCACAGCCACCCATCCTCCAGGTGGGTGCCGGCTCCGTGGCTTCAGCAGCCATGCACCCACCCAGTATGTGGGGGCCCTGGGGGCACTCACAGTGTCCGTGGCCCGAGGCGGGACCCCTGGCGGGGGGGCTGTGGTTGAACTCGACTCCATGGCTCAGGAAGGCCCGGCTCCCCGCCTGCTCGGCGGCTGTTGTCACGGCGCTGTGCGGCATCACCAAGGTCGCTGTTGTCCCGAGAGACTCCCGGGGCCCCGCCCTCGAGGGCCCCGCCCCCTTCCGCCCACGCATGCTTCGTGCCTGGGGTGCTGCTGCTGCGCTCGGCGTGGGCTCGCACCCTACTAGCCGGCGTCGTGCGCCGCCCGGGCAGGTGGGCTCACCGGCCGGACTTCGCAACCTTCCCGACAGGGGGCGTTCGGGTCTGCGGGAGGCTCCCGGGAGGAAGAGCGCCGGCGCTGGCGTGGTGCCATGAGGGGCCGCTGGGCGCCAGGGCAGCCGCGCAGGGCGGCCAGGCCAGGGCAGGGCCTCATTTCCCGGGGTCCGGGGGAGTGGAGCTCGCGTGAGCCCCAGCGCCGCGCTGGGGCTGCGGTTGTGGTTTGGGCCGAGGGGGCAGCGCCTGCACAGGTGCGCCTTGCCGAGGGCCCCGGCACCTGGGAGGCTGGGAGGCGGCTCCGGAGTGGGTTTGGTTTGTTTTGAGGTTTATTTATTTGAAAGGCAGTTACAGAGGCACAAACAGGTCTCCGCCCACTGGTTCACTCCCGATGGCTGCCACGGCTGGAGCTCGGCAGATCTGAAGCCAGGAGCCTCCTCGGGGTCTCCTATGCCAGTACAGGGACCCGAGGACTTGGGCCATCTTCCACTGCTTCCCAGGCCACAGCAGAGAGTCTCCAGCCAGCACCTCAGGTGGCGGCTTTACCTGCTAAGCCACAGTGCCCACCCCGCCGGAGCATCGATGGGGCCTTCCAGCCAGCGCCCCTCAGCCTCGGGCGGTCACTGACTCCCTGGGAGACAGGCCAGGCCAGCCCTGGCTAGGTCTGGGGCACCATGTGGGGTGGGGGAGGCAGAGCTCAGGGACCAGCTTCCACGACCCCTCCCGTGATGGTCAGGCCGACTCGGAGCCCTCCTCTGAGGCCCTGTCCAGCTGGTGAGTGGGTGCTTCCGGCCCAGGGTGTCCGGACGGCCCAGGGGGCTGCACGGGCCTTCAGGAGGCCCGGGTACGGCTCCGGCTGTGCCGGCGGTGAGGAGCACGTGGTCTGGGAGGGGACCCTTGGTTACCCGCGGCCCTCAGCTCCCCTCTGCCAACTGCCACCGCCCCCTGCACGCGCCACAACGGGGGTGGGGAACCCACTCGGTTCTGCCTCAGCACCCCAGGCCCGCCCCGGCGCGTGTGGGCCCTGGTCCGGGCCAGCTCCGGCCTCCCCTTCGGCCTGTCACGCCCCCGCAGAGGCCGGGGCCTCTGCCGTCGCCGCGGCTCGCGCTGGGGGCGGGCCTGGAGGTCCCGGTGGCGGGCGGGCGTCTCCTACCACCTGATGCTGAGGCCGGAGCCGGCCTTCTCCACGGCGTGGTACTGTGTGTGCAGCAGGCGGCCGGCCCGCTCCGAGCCCTGGCCCTGCAGCCACTGCGCGTACAGGAGCCGCACGCCGGGCACGTCCTCGGGCGCCTGCGCCCCCAGCTCGCCGTACCGCCGCTCCACCTGCTGCAGCAGCTCCCGGCCGGGGCCGTCCAGGGCCCGCAGCTGCCCTCCGCCATTCAGGCAGCCTGCGGCAGAGGGGCGGGGTCGGCACGCGGGCGGCGCCTCGCCCCGCCCCACCCGCCCGGCCGGGGGCGGAGCTACCTGAGGGGCAGGCCATGACCTCCACGTAGTGGTAGGGGCAGCGGCCCCGCCTGAGCTTCTGCACCACGTTCTGGATGTTGCGGAAGCCGTAGGCCAAGGCGAAGCGCAGCAGCACCTGGCCCTCCCGCTCCAGGGTCACCTCCTGGAAGTCCTTGTTCCTGGGGACGCACAGGCCGCTGGCCGGTGACCTCCCGGAGGGCCCCTCCCCGGAGCCCAGCTCAGCCCCCAGGGCGGGCGGCAGGCCCAGCCACTGACCTCAGGGGTCTGTAAGTGACCTCAGCGTCCTGGATCCCGAAGAGCTCCCGGGCCGCGTGCCGGAACACGTGCTCCAGGTAGCCCCCCGAGCCCCCACCCCGGTGGCTGGTGGGCTCCTGGGCGGAGCAGCTGCTGGACCTGGGGGAGGGGCAGGTCAGTGCGGCCGCGGCGCCGTCCAGCCCCGCCCCCTCTCTGTGAAGTCCCGGGCCGGGCAGGGAGCAGTCTGGGACGGGGCGTCGCGCCGAGGTCCGAGCGCTGGTCCTGGGTGCCCCGCAGCCCTCGCCCTCGCCGGGACTCACGGGCTGTCCAGAGGGGTGGGCTCCAGCTCCAACAGCGAGACCCCCTCTTCCTCCAGCAGCTTGAAGACCTCTCCTGCAACACACGCGGCGCCCTGAGCCGGGGGTCCCAGGCCCCGGCCGCCACCCGGCTAGCGAGGGGGAGGGGCCTCGGCTGTGCGCGCCCCTGTCCGGCTGGGGAACACGCATGAGCGTGTGGGAGAGGGAGGGCTGCTCCACCCGGGGCCGGCTGTTTGGCCCAGTGGTTAGGGTGCTGCTCGGGAGGCCGGCGCCCACGCAGGGTGCGGATGCGAGTGGCGCTCCGCCCCCAGCACCGGCTGATGCACACCCTGGGGGCCGCCTGGGAGTCCAGCATCGGCTCCTGGGCTCCGGCTTCCGCCTGGCCCAGCCCTGGCTGCGGTGGCACTGGGGGAGTGGACCAGGGGATGGGAGCTCTCTGCCTTGCAAATAAATAAAAATGAGCGGCACACCTTAGAGATAACACTGCTTCAGGCAAACAGGGGTCTCCGAGAGGCAGGACCCGCGCGCCTCTGGGCGGAGGGGCGGGGCGGAGTCCGGGGAGACGTGGGGGCGGGCACCTGTGGCGAGCACACAGTCCATCCCCCCAACCCGAGCTGCACAGGTGGGCGGGGCCGGGGAGGGGCGGGGCCGGGCGCGCACCGGTGGTGAGCACGCAGTCCACCTCGCGGGTCTGGTGCTCCTGGTTGAAGAAGTCGGGCCTGGACGCCTCCAGCTTCTTGTCGTAGCAGGGCATCACGGCGACGTGGTAGATCTTGTCGGGGGTCACGTGCTGTGGGACGCGGACACGCGGTCACACCCGGCCCCACGCTGTGGGCGGTGTCTCCCGCAGGGCAGGGTCCCCGAGAATTCTCTGAGCGGGGCCGGCGCCGGGGCGGGCAGGTGACCACACCGCCTCCCCGAGCCGGGCGGGACCTCTGGCCACGTCGAGAGAGAGGCCCTCGGCGGCCGCACAGAGCCAGGCCCCCGCCCCTCACCGAGCCTGAGCCGCTCCCTGCGCGGCCTGGGCCGGTGGACGCAGTACCTGCTGCTGGGCGAAGAAGTCCTTGACCAGGGAGCCCATGACCTGCTGCGGCGAGCGGGCGGTGCTGATGTAGGGGAGCAGGAAGCTGCCGTGCGTCTTCTCGGCGTAGCAGATCCAGCCTGGGCAGCGGGACACGCAGCCACAGCTCCCAGGGGCGGCCGGGGGTCGCCCGCCTTGCCTCTCCCCTGGGGGCTCAGTGACCACCCCCCTGCCCTCACCCCCGGGCTCAGCCCCGCCCTGCCCTCACCCCCGGGGGCTCTCGGAATCCAGGTGGTGACTTCAGGGCAACAGAAGTGACCACAGATGACCCCCCACGCACGCACCTGGGCAGGCGGAAGTGAGCACGGGCAGCGCCTGGCTTCGGAACCGCTCCACAAACTCGCGCTGGCTCTCCAGGAGGCTAAAGCTCCTGGAGAAGGCCGCGTCGAAGACGTAGTGCACGCCTGCAGGGCGACCGCGTGAGCAGCACCTGGGGGGGTACGCCCCCAGGGCCAGCCACGCCCCCAGAGCCAGCCACGCCCCCAGAGCGGGACCCGCCCCCAGGGCCGGCCACGCCCCCAGAGCGGGACCCCGCCCCCAGGGCCAGCCACGCCCCCAGAGCGGGACCCGGCCACAGGGCCAGCCATGCCCCCCATAAGGACCCCGCCCCCAGGGCCAGCCACGCCCCCAGAGCGGGACCCCGCCCCCAGGGCCAGCCATGCCCCCATAAGGACCCCGCCCCCAGGGCCAGCCACGCCCCCAAGGTCAGCCACACCCCCAGAGCTGGACCCCGCCTCTCAGAGCGGAGCTGCACCTGCTCACGGCACCTGGGCCAGGGCCAGCCACAGGCCCAGACCCCAGAGCGGGACCCCGCCTCCCAGGCCAACCACGCCCCCTGGGCGGGACCCGCCTCCTAGAACCGTGGGCTGCTTCCACAGCCACGAGGCGCATCGCCAGCGCCTGCCGTGCGCCTGGGTGCCGGCCTCCCGCCGTGGCGGCCGCCCGGCCCCTCCACCCCGAGTTGAACTCTGCGAACCCGCGGGCAGAAGACCTGTCTGTGTCCCCCTCTCTGTAACTCCGCCTTTTAAATAAGTAATAAACCTCACAAAGCAGGAAAGCACGCCGGGCACGGCGCGTCCTCCAGGCTCGCTCGGAGCTGCGGTCACTCGGGATCCGCGCGTGGACGCCCCCCCCCCCCGGCGCCCACCTACCTATGCTCCGGAAGAACGAGGCGAGCCTCTTGGCCGTGTCGGCGGCGGGCAGCTGGAGCCGGGCGGCCAGCGACGCTGTGGACTGCGGCGACAGCGACACCACCACCAGCCTGCGCCTCGCGGGCGCCGCCGTCTGCAAGGCCGGGGGGCGCGCGTCAACCGGGCCGCGCCGCCCGGGGCCCCCCGAGGCGCCCGCCGGACCCGCTACCTGGTTGGCGTCCAGAACCTTCCGCAGCTCCTCGTGGCTCTGCTGCGCGATGAGCACGGTCTCCGCCGACGTGACGCAGCCGCTGCAGGCCAGGCAGTCGTCCAGCGAGACCCTGGCTCGCTCCAGCCTCCGCGCGCCGCCGCCCTGCGGGGCAGCACGCCGGGCTCGCACGCCGCCGGGACCAGCCCGGCCGGGCCCCGCGCTGCTCCCGCAGCCCCCGCCACCAGGCTCCGGAGCAGCGAGTGGCCGGGGCGGGACAGCGGGACCCTCCCCTCGCTGTGAGCTCCCGCCGTGCGCCGCCTGCCCGCGCCAGGCCAGGGGAGCCAGGCTGGGACCGCGGGCGCAGAGGCCTCCGCGCAGGAGTGGCCGCCGCCCAGGGTCCCCCTGCGCACCCCCGGCGCCGGGCCCACCTCACCTGTTGGACCTGGAAGTAGCTGCCGTCGTCCCCGACCTGGATCTTGGCCCCGCCGCGCCCCGGCCTCGCGTCCACCTTCACGGGCTTGACGCAGTCCTGCAGCGGGAGGAGCCCCCACGCCGCGGCCGTGAGCGCGCGGGGAAGCCGGGCCCCCCGCCCTCGGCCACCGCGTAGGGAGCCGGCCCTGGCGGGGGCGCGCGGACTTCGTTTCTCAGGGGCCGGCCCCGCCCGCCGCCCGCCGCCCGCCGCCCACCCGCCGGGCCCACCTGAGACGGCCCGATGAAGTCATCTAGATCCGTGAGTTGCAGGACCCCGCTAAAGGGCGACGCCATGATAGCCACACTGCCGCCAGGCGACGCGCGAACGGTCGTCAAAGGGCGCCGCACAGCTAGGGTGTTTCCGCCACGCTGCCGGAAAGCAGCCCCGCGGCGCACGCGCGCCCTCTGCCGGCGAGCTGAGCACAGCACACCTCCCGCGCCTGCGCCGGGCGGTGGAGGGGGCGGTGCAGGTGCTGGGGTCCGCGCGCCGCTTGGGTGGTCCCCCCTGTGCGGTGCTCGCCTGCCTGCCAGGCGTGGGGCCCAGGGTTGCCCGGCCCGGAGCTCCCCGGGGCACCCGAGAGCGTCCCGCGGCCGGCCCGCGGTGGGCGCTCAGTTTCTACTGAAATATAAATTCAGGCGGTGAGGAAATTAGGATGGGGCGACCCCTTGGGGGCTCGGGCCGCTCCGCTCCCTGGAATTTTATAAGCTGCGGGGAGTGCTGGTCTGGTCAGACTCCACTTAGGCCTTTGCGGATCCTGCCCTGTCCAAATGCACACTGGTGCGGGGTCTGCGTTTCGTTTTGCTGAGCTATGGGAGCCGGCGCTGTGCTGGGCCCGGGCTCCCGGACGCGCGTGGGCTGAGTCCCAGCGGCTCCCGGCTCAGGCACCTGCCGAAGCAGCGCCAGGCAAGCGCCTGGGCCCCAGCACCCTGGCCCCTGGCGGGAGCGAGCCCCGGCGGAGCTCGGGCTCCTGGCTTCGCACTGGCCCGGCCCCCACCGCTGCGGCCATCTGGGGAGTGAGCCCGGGAATGGAAGCCCTCTGTCCGTCTGTCACTCCCGGGGTGCAGGTGTCCCCGGTGGCTTCACTGGGACATTCCAGAAACGTCCAGGGTGGAGGGCACACCCCTTGCCCCTCTTGTCCTGCGGCTCCAGGCCCTGGTTCTGTCGGGCTGACCACTGGGCCGTGCAGTCCTCTGGCTGTGGGGGGGCAGCGTTACCCCAGGGCTGATACCCAGTGGTTTTCCTCGTTCTTCCCCAAATGCAAGTGGGTCACAGGCCGCAGAGGCCAGGAGAGGGCACGGGGAGCCTGGACGCCCCGTGCCACGCCAGGGGCCACGCCCGTCCGTGGGGGACAGGAAGGGGCTGGGGGCCGCACGGCACAGGTGTTACAGGTCCCTCACCACCATTTCACAGTTCTGATATGCAAATTTATTTTCAATATTTATTTTTAATTAATTAATTTATTTTTTTTTTATTTTTTGACAGGCAGAGTGGACAGAGAGAGAGACAGAGAGAAAGGTCTTCCTTTGCCGTTGGTTCACCCTCCAATGGCCGCCGCGGCCAGCACGCTGCGGCCGGCGCACCGCGCTGATCCGATGGCAGGAGCCAGGTGCTTCTCCTGGTCTCCCATGGGGTGCAGGGCCCAAGCACTTGGGCCATCCTCCACTGCACTCCCGGGCCACAGCAGAGAGCTGGCCTGGAAGAGGGGCACCCGGGACAGAATCCGGCGCCCCGACCGGGACTAGAACCTGGTGTGCCGGCGCCGCAAGGCGGAGGATTAGCCTAGTGAGCCGCGGTGCCGGCCTTCAATATTTATTTATTTAAGAGAGGGAGGGAGAAGTCCCATCGCTGGTCCACCCCAGACCCTTACGGTGGCCGGACGGGGCCAGGCCCACGCCAGGAGCCCCAGCTCCACCCCAGTCTCCCATGTGGGTGCAGCAGCTGGAACTGGGATTCGAACCCGGGGACTCGGATACGGCGCCTGGGTCCTGAAGGGCGAGGCCGGAGCCCACCTCCGCCAGCCAATTTGTGTGCCTAAGTCAGGGCGGGGCCAAGGCCGCTGCTGCAGGGGCCGAAGGAGGGCGGGGCTTCCTCTGTCCCCTCCCTCAGGCTCCAGTACACAGACACTGACTGAGCCACACACACACTCACACAGTCACATGCTCCCTGGCTCTCACACCTGCGGCCACACACTCACACACACACAGTCACATACACTCACACAGCCACACACACACACTTACACTCACACACTCACACAGTGACACACACACTCACACAGTCACATACACATTCACACACACTCACACAGTCACACACACACACAGTCACACACTCACACACACTCACACAGTCACATGCTCCCTGCTCTCCACCCACGCGCACACCAGCGGGCGGCCCCTGGAGGTCCTCATTACTCATTCCCGGGAGCCCCTCACACACACACACACACACACACACTCACACACACTCACACACTCACGTGGCGGCCCCTGGAGGTCCTCATTACTCATTCCCGGGAGCCCCTCACACACACTCACACACACACACACAGTCACACACACTCACACTCACGTGGCAGCCCCTGGAGGTCCTCATTACTCATTCCCGGGAGCCCCTCACACACACACTCACACAGTCACACACACACACTCACACACACACACACAGTCACACACTCACACAGTCACACACTCACGTGGCGGCCCCTGGAGGTCCTCATTACTCATTCCCGGGAGCCCCTCACACACACACAGTCACACACACACACACTCACACAGTCACACACACAGTCACACACACACACACTCACATAGTCACACACACAATCACACACACAGTCACACAGTCACACACTCACGTGGCGGCCCCTGGAGGTCCTCATTACTCATTCCCGGAAGCCCCTCACACACACTCACACACACACACACAGTCACACACACTCACACACACACACACACTCACGTGGCGGCCCCTGGAGGTCCTCATTACTCATTCCCGGAAGCCCCTCACACACACTCACACAGTCACACACACACACTCACACACAGTCACACACACACACACACTCACGTGGCGGCCCCTGGAGGTCCTCATTACTCATTCCCGGGAGCCCCTCACACACACACACACAGTCACACACACACTCACAGTCACACACACAGTCACACACTCACTCACACAGTCACACACTCACGTGGCGGCCCCTGGAGGTCCTCATTACTCATTCCCGGGAGCCCCTCACACACACACAGTCACACACACACACACTCACACAGTCACACACACACACACTCACATAGTCACACACACAATCACACACACAGTCACACAGTCACACACTCACGTGGTGGCCCCTGGAGGTCCTCATTACTCATTCCCGGAAGCCCCTCACACACACTCACACAGTCACACACACACAGTCACACACACACACAGTCACACACTCACGTGGCGGCCCCTGGAGGTCCTCATTACTCATTCCCGGGAGCCCCTCACACACACTCACACAGTCACACAGACTCACACACTCACACACAGTCACACACACACAGTCACACACTCACATGGCGGCCCCTGGAGGTCCTCATTACTCATTCCCGGGAGCCCCTCACACACACACACACAGTCACACACACAGTCACACACTCACTCACACAGTCACACACTCACGTGGCGGCCCCTGGAGGTCCTCATTACTCATTCCCGGGAGCCCCTCACACACACTCACACACACACTCACACATACTCACACAGTCACACACACACTCACACTCACACACAGTCACACACTCACACAGTCACACACTCACGTGGCGGCCCCTGGAGGTCCTCATTACTCATTCCCGGGAGCCCCTCACACACACACACACACACACAGTCACACACACACTCACACACAGTCACACACACACACACACTCACGTGGCGGCCCCTGGAGGTCCTCATTACTCATTCCCGGGAGCCCCTCACACACACACACACAGTCACACACAGTCACACACACACTCACACACAGTCACACACACACACACTCACGTGGCAGCCCCTGGAGGTCCTCATTACTCATTCCCGGGAGCCCCTCACACACACACACACAGTCACACACAGTCACACACACACTCACACACAGTCACACACACACACACTCACGTGGCAGCCCCTGGAGGTCCTCATTACTCATTCCCGGGAGCCCCCGGCCGGCAGGCGCAGCCTCAGGCGACCCCGCGCTCCGTTTTACAAGCTGTTTCATCATCATCATTAGCAGGTATTTCCCGTGCGCGCCCGAGTGAACCGCGAACGTGGGGGGGGGGGCACGCAGGGAGGCGCCCCCTGCCCGGCGCCACCCCCACGAGGGGCCCCGAGGCGGCTCAGCCTGGAGCCCACAGGAGGGCCTGCCCACGGGCCGGGACTGGGGGGCTGGCCGGCTGGGAGCCCGCGCGGGCCTCCGACCCCCGACATTTCCAGCCGCGGGCACAGTGTGCTTCCAGGCCCCCACGGCAGTGCCGACGCTGTCACCCGCAGGGGACCACCTGCGCCCAGCACCCCGGGGCCTCCCTGCCCCCGTGCCCCCGTGCCCCGGGGTCACCTGCGCGCCTGACCCTCATGGCCCCCGTGTTGGGCTTGTGGGCCGCCCGGACCAGCGGAGAGGATACTGGCCGCCTCCTGTCCCCGCCGTGCGGCCACCTGTGCGGGGGCCTGTGTCGGCCCGACGGGCGCCCCCGGAGCCCACCCGGCCCCTCCGCCCTCCGAGAGGCGGGCGCCGTCCCCGAGGGCCGAGCGGAGCGTTTTATCTGTCGGAGGGTGATGAGCGCGTCATTAGCGGCGCAGGGCACACGCGGGGCGTCCCTGTGGGGCCCCCACAGCTTGTCAACAGGTGGAGGTGCGGGCAGGCGGCCATTAGCCGCTAATGAGGACCCGCAGGGCGCGGCGGCTCCTGCAGCGCAGCTGGGCCGAGGGGCCTGGGTGTCGCCCTTCCCACGGCTCCTCTGGGCGCACGTGGGGCCTGGAACGCAGGCCACGTCCAGCTGGTGTCCCCCACCGTCGGCCCCAGGTCTTTCTCCGGTGCTCGGACACGGTGTTCTAGAACCCCGATGCTTTCCACACACGTGCTCTGGAGACCCCGTGGCTGGGATGTGCACGTCCCGGGGACCCCATGGCTGGGACAGGCGTGTGCCGGAGACCCCGTGGCTGGGATGTGCACGTCCCGGGGACCCCATGGCTGGGACAGGCGTGTGCCAGAGACCCCGTGGCTGGGATGTGCGTGTCCTGGGGACCCTGTGGCTGGGACGGGCGTGTCCCAGGGTTCCCGTGGCTGGGACGGGCGTGTCCCGGGGTTCCTGTGACCTAGACATGCATGTCCTGGGGACCCCGTGGCTGGGACAGGCGTGTGCCGGAGACCCCGTGGCTGGGGCGCACGTGTCCCAGGGTTCCCGTGGCTGGGACGTGCATGTTCCGGGGACCCCGTGGCTGGGATGGGCATATCCCGGGGTTCCTGTGACCTAGACATGCATGTCCTGGGGACCCCGTGGCTGGGGCACGTGTGTTCTGCAGCCCTCGCCTGCCCCATCGGGCCGCTCTGCCTGCGGGGCCTTCCTCATTCTTACGTCACAGATGATTACTGTTTTTGACTTTTTAGTAAACTTGCTGAGTTCCTGAGAAACCTAGAATGAGGACAGCGCCGTCGCGCCAGGGCCGCGTGCAGAGCGGGCGGGCGGGTGGTGGGCGTGCAGCATCGGTCCCGCAGCCCCTGCGTCGCGAGTCTCCGTGGCTGCAACACAACGACTGTGCGGGTGTCCCCGCCCGACCCAAGAACGGGTCACGGGGTGAGGCGCCCAGGGGTGCGGGAGCGCAGCCCGAACCCGGGACACCAGAAACGGAAGCTCGCGTGCCCCGAGGCGGGTCCGGCCATGCGCTCCCGCGACGTCGCCCTGAGGGCAGCTGGCGGAGGCCGGGCGGGGCGGGCCGGCGGCGGGGCCAGGGTCGGCAGGCCCCCTTGTCCGTCCCAGCTGTCCGGGCTGTTTGAGGAGTGACCCAGCACATGGAGGGCTCTGTGTGTGACGCCGCCTTTCAAATGCGTACGTGAACCTTAACAACAATGACCAGGATGGCCACGGCTGGGCCAGGCCGAAGCCAGGAGCCGGGAGCTTCTCCCGGGTCCCCCACGCGGGTGCAGGGGCCCAAGCACTTGGGCATCTTCCACTGCCCTCCCGGGCCTTAGCGGGGAGCCGGGCCAGCGCTTACATGGAGCCGGCACCGCAGGTCATGGCGTCACCTGTGCTCGGCCCCGTTCTTGATGCATGTTTTGCCCAGAATTGTCTGCCTGTCGGCATTGCCGAATTCCGTGTTAGGCAGGGTCAGGCAGCATCGGAAGAAACAGAGACCCTAGCCTTAGGTCAGAGGCCGGGGGAGGGGCAGCTGCATGGGGATGGGCACTGGGGGCTTGAGGGAGGGCTGGCCCAGCCCCCCAGGGCGCGGAGCCAGTGCACCTGCAGGGCCTGCTGGAGCCGCCCCCGCCCCGCGCACCCACAGCCCTGCTGAGTGAGGAGCACCGCGGGCTGGCGGCGTGGACCCCGACCATCGCTGTGCCCTGGGACCCGGCGCCGGCCCCCGTGGACCCCGACCATCGCTGCCGGCCCCTGTGGACCCCGACCATCGCTGTGCCCTGGGACCCGGTGCCGGCCCCCGTGGACCCCGGCCATCGCTGCCGGCCCCTGTGGACCCCGACCATCGCTGTGCCCTGGGCCCCCATGTGTCCTGGGTTTTGCCACCTCTGAGGAAGCTGCCTCCCAGGCCCACCCCTCCCCCAGGGGCCCAGGCCGGTGTCCGGCGGTGCCGGTGCCGCCTCCCCAGGGTCTCCACCCTCGCATTCCTGTAGCGTGAGCCACCCCTGTGCTCAGCCGAGCTTCGCTGG